CTGTTTTCAAACCAGCTGGTGGGACAGGGGGGTGCAGGGACCCCAACAGGGAGCTCTGAGTCAGGGTGGGGACCCGGCCTGCATCTGGGGGGTGAGAGAGCAGCCAGCTCAGGTGAGGCGGGTCCCTCGGTGACTGCGGTCACTGGCTGGGTGAGGGTCCCCAGGGAGGGGAGGGGTCTGTGTGGAAGGTGGGGGCAGTCTGTGGGGCCATCCCGACTCCAGGAGCCCTCGCTGAGGGAGGCGGGAAGAACCCACCGGCAAAAATGCCTCCGCGGGCCTGACAGCGTTCACTGCGGGCAGGTGGCCACCGGTTCCCGCCAGTGACTTTCCATCCAGGTGCGCGGCCTCCGGTCCTGCACACGGATCTGTGCCCAGCCTTTGTGTGGCCCGTTGGCCTGGCCCTGTCCCCCAGTCTGGTGGGCCCACGTGGGCTGTGACGTGTGGTTTCCTTGGGGAAACCTGAGGACTGCCGGGAGCCTGAGTGGGGGCTGGGGTCCCCTCAGCTGCAAGGTGGCTGTGCGGGGCAGCCTGAGATGGTATTTGTTGAAAGGTGCCTTTGGGCCTGGTGGGGAGGCTCCTAGTTTGGGACGTGCGCTGTCCCGGGCTTCTTGGAGGTTGGGACCACCCCACCCCTGCCCCTCATCCACTTGCACCTGAGCCTGCCCCTGGCCTCCCTGGCCTCACCGGCTGTGTCCTCAGCCCTGGGTCTGGGGGCGGGGGAGCCGGGTGCGCCAGGGCCTCAGGAGGGCGGGCAGGGTCCTTGTGCTCACGTGTTTGGGAGCCTGTGTGCCTGTCCGCCCCTCACGTGCACGCGCTAGCTGGAAGACACCATGAGTGGGCCCATCTCCGCAGACCCAGCGGGCAGGGGCGCCCGCATACGGTGTTGGGGGCTGCGTGGACCCGTTGTAGGCAGTGTCCACAGGAGATGCCCAGAGGGTGGGGAGTGTGGCGTCCAGGGTCAGGAGATGGGCGAGCACCGTCCTCCCTGGCTTCTCGGGAGAGCGGCCCTCTGTCTAGGCCAGACCCTGCCGTCCCTCCTCTCGGGCGCCCCCGGGGGGTGGCCTCCGTGGCCTCAGGCTGGAACTTGCCAGCTGCTCCCCAGGCAGCAGACACGTGGACAGCTTTTCTTTTTAAACCTACTTCTGTGGTGTGTGTGTCTGTCTCCCCATTACCACTGCTTTTCATTTAAAATGTTATCTCCCCCCACCCGTTCCTCGTGCCCCCCCGGGGGGGGGGGCGACGGGGCCCAGCCCTCACCCTGGTGTAGTCAAGGTTATGGTGATAAATCCTGGGGCATTGTCACTTCTATTCGGAGTAAATTGGCTGGCCGCTTTCGGGCTGAAGGAAAGATAATTTGCTGTAGTATTTCAAATGGATTAGAAATGGATTTGAAGGGAAAGTTCATGCCTCCCATTACAAAGGCGAGAAAGAGGACTATCTTAAGGCACGGTTCCCTCCCTGGCCTTCATTATCCACGCTTAATACCTTTCCTATTTTCCAGCGTTAATGAAATTTCCTGGCGGCGTGGGCCTGCCGGACGGATGGGAGAAGCCTTTAGATCTGAGGCTCCTGTTGTAGAAAAGGAATTACAGGGCCCGTGCCGCGAGGGCAGGCGCGTTCTCCGGGTCCTTGGCCCGGCTATTATCTCATTAATTTTATCCCCTCTTCTCAATACAGTTGGTTTCCAAAGGCTGTCCTCTCCATTAGGGTAACAATTTACTGGAGTGCCGTGACACCCAGGCACTGAACAGCTACAAGGCAGCCCCTGCCCGCCCGGCGCCTGCCTGGCCACAGGTCCCAAGTCAGCGAGTGGAACCAGCCGGGGTGAGGGAGGGGGTCCTGTGCAGCTGCAGGCTGGGCTGTGTGCGGGCAGGTGGGCCTTCCCCAGCCCAGGCCAGCCCTCCCCGAGTTCTGTGGCTGCGTCCACCTCCTCCAAACAGTCCTGTGGCACCATGGGGCTCCTGCGTGGGCCCCTGGAGACGGTGGGCCCCGGGGCTGTTTGTGGGGGCAGCCCCGCACCCTGGGCCGTGCGCCCACCTGTGCGTAGACCATCCACTCTGAGCCAGGGCGTGAGAACCGAGCTGCTAGGCCTGCAGCCCTGCCAGGTGGCCCGTGGTCGTCCCATAATTGCCATTCAGACCCAGGGGCGTAGTTTTTTGGGGGGAGAGGAGACCGATCTCTCAATCTTGGTCCTCCATAAGAATAAGTGTGGGAATAATCAGCGATGTGTGAGGTATGCCTTGTAGCCAAGAAAAACCACGGAGGGCACTTCTCCCAAGCAGGGCGTTGGGTGTGTCCAGTGCCTAGCTGGGGAGCCAGGAGCGTGTCCCTGGGTCCTACTCTCAGGGAGAGCCGTTAACTCCCAGACTGAGGCTCTTCTGTGTACAGAGCTGTGGGATGGGCCTGGATGGGACCACCCTCGGGGCTGGAACGCAGTCTATCCTGAAGCTTCTAGCTCCTTCTAAACTGAGAGCCTGCCAAGCCTCCCCCTCCACAGGTCCCTGCCTGGGCCTGGTCCCTGTCTGCGGCTTCACCTGTGTGACTGCCCCAAGGAGTGGTGAGTTGTCCCTGTCTGGCCTCGGCCAGGGGCACGTGCCTGGGGGTGAGCTCCCTCACCCCTCGAAGGGCTGGGTTTCTGGGGCATCCGGGGAGGGGGGTGGATCCTGAGGTGCCGGGCCCAGGGAAGGGGGTGGGGCACGTGTCTGCCTGCCCACCTGTCCCTCATGATTTGTGGCGTCCTGTGGTGTGGATGGGGTGCAGGTATGGTGGCGGCCCAGGAGAGGAGGGTCTGTGCCCCGAGGCAAGGGGCAGCTGAGAGTGGTGCCCTTATTCTGGTAAGTGACAGCTGTGCCATCTCGCTGCGCGGCCTGCTGGGCCGTCTGGGGTCTGGCCCTGAGGGCTGAGTGTGCTGTGTGCGCGGGCTGGGCTTACTGCCGGCGCACTCGAGCCCCAGGGCTGCAGAGCGGAGGCTTCCCAGCTGCCCCTCTCAGTGGTGACACCGCTGAGGGTTCTGGACGTCGTGGGGCTGGGGGCCAGGGCTGTTGGCGGCCCGTTGGCCTGTGGCTGAGCCAGCTGTGGTGGCCACTCGCCCTGAGCTCAGCTCTCTGTCGTGGGGTTAGGACTCAGGCCAAGCTGTGCCCTGTGCACAATGACCCCGGCGCCCTCGGAGGGTCCGGAGCCACCTCTGAGCTCACGGCGTTCTGCCGCAGGTGCGGGTTAGGCCCCACCCTCCTCATACCTTGGCCTGACCTCTGAGCCAGCCAGGGGGACAGGCAGGTACTCACCGGACACATCAATACCCCGAGACCAGGGTGGGTAGAGCTGGGGCCCCAGGGTCTGAGGAAAGCCTGGAGGTCTGTCTTCTCCCCCAGAGGACACCCCCCCACCCTGCCCTCTTTCTGCCAAGATGTACCCTGTGCAGGGACAGCTGGGGCCTGTAGGGCACGCATGGCACGAGCCAGGCCGGCCGCGGTCCCTTGGCGGGACTTTTTCCCAAGATTGGTGTCTGTGAACTTGAGTTTTAATTAAGGGAAACTGGGTTAAGTGCCGTCGGGCTGCGGTGTCCTCGGCCCTTGCTGCCTGGCCTGTCCTCACACTGAAGCTGTGGGTCTCCTGAGCTCGGCTCGCTTGCGCACAGGATCCGTCTAACGTGTCCTCAGAGGCTTTGGCTGGCGAGAATCACCCCCGAGTTGCAAAGAGACCAAGGCCCAGGGGGCCATGTGGTGAGGGTGGCGTCAACCCCCCAGCCGCGATGCCACCACCCCTCCACCAGCCTGGGTGCCGCCGGGAGGCCCCGCCCCGCCCCGTCCCGTCCCGCCCAGAAAGGGAGCTGCAGGGCCGTGGGGTGCGCGGCGGCATGAGGACGTTGGAGAACCCGAAGGGAAGGCGCCATGGCGCTGCTCTGGGCCTGCTCACCAGGTCCCCGCTGCCGGTGGTGGTGGTGGTGCCCGCGGCCAGGCCCACCCTCCTCACGCCCTGCCCTCCTGCTGCTGGCAGGCACCGGCACTCACAGCCCCAGATTTGCCAGTGGGGCGCAGTGTGGACGCTTGGCGGTAATAACATTATGAGCAGAGTCTGAGCTAATATGGAATTAAGGTCAATTTGCATAAACAAATTGCTGCTGAAATGTGTCCTGAGGGGGAAAGGCCCCACACCCTTCTGGAGTCATGAAGCTGGCTAGTCTCCATGCCGGACGCCCTGGGTGGGAGGCCCTTGTCCCCTCATTTGGGTGGCAGCCTGCCCGTGTGACCCCTGGGGGGGCGGGGAGCGGGTGGGCCAGAACAGCCTGGGGGCCTGCGGCTGCTGCCCACCGCAGCTGTGGTGTCTGCAGGGGAATGTCTCTCTAACTGGGGGCATCCAGGGCCTCCTCCCGATCCACTCCGCCCTTGGCTTCCCCGGGGGGTGCCGGTTTCTGGCAGGACGGGGCCCAGGACCCTGTGGGAGGAGAGTTTGGAGGGAAGGAGTGGGCAGGTGTCCACCAGGGCCATCCAGGCCCTGGTCTGCCTTCCCTGCCCGGGTCATCCACTCAGCGAGTCCCGCAGGCTGTCCCACACCCCTTCCATCATCTCCCCCGTCTTTCTCCCACATGGCTTGCCTGCGTGGGGGTCTGTGAGGGTCTCGATGCTGGGCTCTCGTGTGGTGGATAGAGGGGCGGGGCAGGACTGGCCGTGGGGCCTGCTGACCCCAAAGCACCTGCTGTCCCAAAGGCCAGGCTGACGTGGGCTGGAGCAGCGTCTGGGGGAAGATGTTCCCAGGCAGTGGTGACGGCCACCAGTCTTGGTGTGGACCTCAGGAGCCTTCCCCCCACAGTGGACCTCCCTCAAGAGACGCTGTCAGAAGGCCAGGGCCTGGACAGTCACGTGCAGCGCTATACATGATGGAGGGGGAGACTTGTCCCCTACCTGCGCCCCTTCAGCCTGGCTGAGTGGGGTTGGGGACAGTGGGTGACGGACTGCGGGCGGCTGGGGCCGGACCGACTGGGCATTTCTCTGTCTCTGCAGGTCTCTGGTGCTGAATCGCCTGCGCCCCACCACCGGGGGTGGGAAAGCACAGGCCAGCCCCCCTCGGTGGAGGAACAAAGGCTACCGCTGCATCGGAGGGGTCCTTTACAAGGTGTCGGCCAACAAGCTCTCCAAGACCTCCGGCCGGCCTGGCGGCGATGGCGCCACCAGGCCCCTCCCGCGCACAGGTGAGGCTCCTCGGAGGTGGGGGCCAGGAAGCCTTTGGGCCTGGCTCCTGACTCCCCACCACGCGTCGTCCATCGTGGGCGGCTGCTGCGGCTCGCCCGTGACCCCATGTTCCCAGGGAGCCGATCCCCGTGAGCGCTTCCCAAATGGGCCACGGCCCAGGCCGGGAGCTCATTTTTCCCTTCAGTGCTTGCCGGGCCCCCATAGCCGTCCCTGTCGGAGCCGACGGGGCAGCCGGAGCAGCCCGGGCACGGATGGGGAGGCCTCTCGGCCCCCACGTCCCCTGGGGAAGCCCCCACGTGCACTGCCTCTCGCTCGGCCGAGCGGGCCCTGATTTTCCACGTTTTGCTCCTGGACAAAGGAGATGAGCCAGGTATGGTGAACACGGTCCTGGCGGGCGAACACCTGGGGCCACGGCGCCCTGTAATCTCATTGGCAATGCCTCCCGCTGTGTCTGGAGGCAGCCGCCGCCGCCACCACGCATGCCCCCGCGGCCTGGGGAAACAGGCCGAGGAGAAGGAAATGCTTTGGATTCGCTTATTATACAAATTAACTAGAAAATATTTGGGTTTCAGTCCAATTTTACCCCCATCCTTTTCTGTCAAGAAAAGAAGGGTGAGGTTGCAGGCAGTGTGGGGCCTGCAGAGACCCAGCTGCTCCCGGCCCCCACCCCCCAAAGAGGCCTGGACCAGGGGTGAGGCGGGCGTTGGGACCATCTGTAGCTTGGGGGCCCTTCCTGGAAGCCCTGCCCAGCTGTGTCCCCAGGGCCTCTGTACGTGGGACTAGGGGGTGGGCGGCGAGCGCACTGGGCTGCCCAGGAGAGGCACTGGGGGGGCCCGAAGGCCACGGTTCTGCTCTGTCTCTCTGCCTCAGTTTCCCCATCCCTTTCTCAAGGGATTGGGCTGTGTGATCTGAGGGCCTTTCCACCTTGGCCTCAGCTAGCTGCCCAGTGGAGGAGCAGGTTCAGAGCCTTGGCTGGGCCTCCTTTGGGGACTCAGGCCCCAGGGCGTGCCACTGTGGGTGAGCAGATGGCCCCCTCCCCCTCAGCCAGCCCATGGCATCCGTGCTCATGGTCTGTGAGGCCCCACACGTGGCCGCCGGTCCTTCTCTGGGCTGTCCCTCCCGGGCTGCTGTGTGGGGTGGACGGAGCCACAGAGGGCTGCTGGGCAGCCTTTCTGCGGAGTGATATTCTGGTCGGGCCCGAGCAATAAGGCCCGTTCTGCTGACATTTCCTCAGCACCCTCACCTCCTGTCGGCCCCGGTGATGCCGAGGGCTGCTTATTCACACCGGGTGTGAGGGACTCCTCCCTGGCCCGGCCAGACATCATCATTGGCCGTCCTGGCATTCACACTGTCTACAGCAGGGACCCGAAGTGGGTTGTGGTTTGGGGCTGCGTGTGGGCCGCTCCACGTGGGCCCTGACCTCAGGCGGGCTGGTGGGCCTTTGGGGGTGGGGCCGCACCCACCACCCGGCCCCTCGAGTCCACGGTGGGAGGAGGGGCACCTGGAGGCAGAGAGGAAGAGGCGGGTCTGTGCCGCGTGGCTGCCGCTTGAGGGACGGAACAAGAGAGGCGAGCCAGAGCTCCCGGGAGACCCCGGGCCGCCCGCTGCCTTGGGGTGGGAGAGCAGAGAGCAGAAGGGGCTGTGGGGCTCCCCCTCCCTTCCCGGCATAGGCCGCACCACACCTGAGCAGACGGCTGTCCTGTGTCATCTCACTGCGGAAGGCGCCTCGCTGAGCCCATGCCCCTGCAGGTGCACAGCCACACAGCATTCCAGTCTCCTCGGGACACAGAGCGGGACAGAGCTACGGCCTCACCGCGTCGGGTGTCCCGGCCGCCTGGCCTCGGGCCATAAAGAGAGGACGCAGGCCTCAGGGTACAGGCAGGGTCCCGGGAGCCCCCACCCCAACTTCAGGGCAGGTGGGGGCCGGAGGCAGGACTTGGAACGCAGACCACTGGGTGGCATGTCCCGGGTGTGAGGCAGAGCTGGAGCCAGAACCCACCGAGGACCCCCCCCCCCCCCCCCCCCCCGCCCCCGCTGCCTTCAGCTCCAGCCACCCGGACCCCCGACTGCTTGCTGTGGAGAAGGTAGGCCGCCCCCAGCTGCAGGAGCTCCCACTGGCCAGTGGCCTGCTTAGACGAATAATAATCAAAGAAATCTCTCCTTTTCTGTCAGCAGAACTCTGACCCCGGCAGGGAGGTAGCCCGCCCCCATCCTGACTCTGGCTCCCAGCTGCTGGGCCTCTCTGGGACAGTGTTGGCCCCTGGTTGGGGTCCCCCGAGCCACGGGGAAGGTGGAGGGCACCCTCCTCCCCCCGAGCCCAGTGACCACGGACTTCCCTCCCGCTTCTCAGGCCTGCCCACCCGCAGGGCCCAGCCCCGGGGGCCTCTCCTTGTGTGGTTTGGCCCCCGACCTGGGTGCACCCGGGTGTGGGCTGCGGCTCATGCTCCACCAGGCCTGGCGTACGTCGCGGACCCAAGAGCCCGCTGGTCCCTGCTGTGGAGCAGAGGCCCCAAGTGTGTCTGCCAGAGCCACCTCCCCCCGCCTAGGCTGCGGGGCCGGCCCCCAGCTCCCTGTGCTGAGAGGGCACAAGAGAGGGCTGGGAGCCACGCACCCAAGGCCCCACCCCGCTGCCTGCCTCCCTCCCGGATGCCTCTTCCTGGGGCCCCCTCCTCCGAGGGCCACGATTTCCTGGGAATGGCCGGGCCAGCCGGGGCGCTGCGGGGCTGCAGAAGCTGGCTGTGCTGCCCGGCCGCTCCCTCTGACCCCAGAGCCCCTGCCTGGGCTCGCTGGCCTGTGAAGGGTGAGGCGCTGCCCGGTGGGGGCTGGCAGGGGTGGGGCCGCGATGCCAAGCTCGCCGGGTCTATTTTGGGAAGATCCCCGGGCAGCGCAGCTCTCGGAAGGCTGGGCACCGCCTGCTCCGCGGTTGCCGACGGTTTTCAGCCGAACGCTGCAGCGCCCGCAGCACCTCGCGGCCTCTTTTCCAGCAGCTGCTTTATGTGCATGTTTTAACACCGCTCGGGGTTTGAACAGTGCCTCCCGCTGCGAGCCCCACACTGGTATCTTTTTAAGAGCAAACCACGGAAAGGGGAGTAAACCTGTCCCTTCCCCGCCCCACCCCCTCAGACACCAGGCCTGACAGGCAGACACATGTTGACCGTGGGCCCTGGCAGGAGCAGATGGCGCCACAGAGGCACCGGCAGCCTGGGTGGCAGCCCGGGAAGCCGCGCTCCCAGCAGCGATCAGATTGCACTCCGTCATCCCCGGGGCGGGCAGGTGTGCGAGCACCTCGTGCCACCTGGACTGGCCTCCAGCCGGTACCCCAGGACCTGCATCCCCAGCTGGGGAGCCGGGACTCCGCTGTGGCCCCGGGCCACCCAGCTCCTCTCCGCCCTGCTCCCCACTCCCCGCTCTGGAACCGGCCCCGTTCCCGTCTCGGCCAGCCCCTGGGCCTGGGCCCCTGGGCCCCTGGGCCAAGCAGTTCCTTCTCAGTGGGGGTCTCACCACGCAGCCCTGGAGCCACCCCGCTTTAGCTTGAGGGGACTGAGGCTCAGAGAGGGGCAGACACTGGTCAGGGGACGGTGGCCCTGAGAGGGCACATGGAGTGTTTGTGTGGAGTGTCCACTGAGTGGTTAGGGCTTGGCAGCAGGCTAGATGTGGAAGGGGGTGCCTGAAGGTCCAGCCCAGGGGCCACATGCAGTGTCAGAATGCTTGCGTGACCGGGTCTGGAACTCTGGACGGGACTGAGCCGAGCGGGTCCTGGCACAGATCGTCCTGGGGAGGCCGAGGGAGGGGCCTCTGGGTGGCTGGAGGGCCACCTGCCCAGGCCTCCCATGCAGCTCCGATGGGGGCGGCTCAGAGCCAGGCAGCTTGGGGACATCCCTTTTTAAGCCTGGATGCTTTGTCATTGCCTCAGGTCCCTAGAATTTCTGAGTGATGTCACTTCTGCCTCTCGCCACCGGATCCATTTCAGCAGCTGCCTGTGGGAAATGGAATCTGGTCTGGGAAGGTTCACATGTGTGTTTGAGGAACATCTGAGCGGTCTTGGGCCCTGCCCGGCCCACCCTGGTCCTGGGGGGCAGTGACCTCATCCATAAAAGGGAAGCAGGGGGCTATATGTCAGTCTGCATTCCTGCCCCCTGCCTGCACAGGACAGACATTGCCCACCTGCCCCTTGTCCCCTGGCTTTGAGCATCCTGTCACCTGCTCCCTTCTCGTCACCACCGTTCACTTCATGAACAGCTCCCCTTTGGGCCACAGTCGTGACCTCAGAGAGGACTTGACGGGTCTTTGCACTTAGGGTTTGGAGGGGTGGGCATCCGCCATGGCCCACGAAGGCCTCCGGGCCGGATGTGCTTGTCCGGGGCCTGTGTAGGCCCAGGTCGGCACGTAGGTCCCTGTAGGGCCTGGGAGTGAGGACGTCAGGCTTTGTGGCCACGTACTTACTATTATATTTTCATTTAACCCTTTAAATTCATAAGAATCGTTAGTGGCTACTGTGAAGCCAGGTGGAATTTCTGGACCCCACTCAGGTCTCATAGCCCCAGGCCCTGCCCCCGGCAGAGGAAGGTAGTAGGGAGGCCCCCAGCACCTAGGCTTTCCTGGGACCACCTGACTTGAGATGAGGCCGCTGCTCAGTAGCCAGTGTCGCCTGGAGCTGTGCTGCCAGATCTGGTCCCTGTACGGCCGCCCCCCCCCCCCCCCCC